TCAGGTCTGAACCGAATGACAACCACATCGAGCAATCATGTGAGGCTGTCAGTTAGCGAGTCGTAGCTCAGAATAAATCAGCTCCAGCTTGATAATCAATACCTGAAAGATGCTGATACTCACATCCATAAACCTAATTCGGCTGCAGCAATCGAACTACTTAGGAGTGTCCTAGTTTCACGCAAGCGTTGTTATCAGTTCCGGGTCCTCGCATCCACAGATCGGAGGAAGGTACAAAGTGGGATAATGCATTGGACGAAAAGTTCTGAGCGGTTTGTGATTTCGTTGAGACCATTTAGCTAGCTACAAAGTAACAGGTGCACTTGCTTCCTAATACGGCCACGCATCTGTCTACTTCGCAGCGGAACAATCATGTGGTGAGGCTGTGCCGTACGAGTCCGCCTCCACGTCCAAATCACGTCAGATTTCATCATGCGCCAGAGAAAGGCCAAAAAGGTGCACGCGCATATCCTGCCCACCCGATGGCCAAGGCAACATGTGCACTCCGCACACAGACGGCCATCTGTGACTAATCAGGACAACGAAAACAATAGCTCGAGGACCGATGTGGGCGTGCCTGAGACCCACTGGTTGGTTGAGAATAGATCGACCAGTTACAAGTGACTGATATTGATATAACGCTGTATTTGCAATAATACTGTTTTTCCGAACGCCTTCTTTTCTTCCGACTATAACCTGGTAGCATCAGGGAAGCTGAAGAGATACAACAGTCCCCCTCATATTTTCCAGGAATTTGGGAATAAAATAGCATGCTGGCATTCTGTGAGAAATGGAGGATGTGAAAGAAACCCATGTTATGTAGATGTTGTTATACATTAGTCAGTGGCTCGCTGATCTGGGGTACCTCATAAATGGACGATTGGATTGAGGAACATTGGACAAAGCTCTCTGGCTGTGGTAAGATAATACTCGTTCAGCTGTAACACCCTTCCAGTGCCTAGCTGCCATGCCATCCGAAGGAAGCACGAGGTTTGGGATACTGCTAGGTTGACCAAGCCTAGACAGGGGAAGTCGAGAGCCCGAGGCCGGGTCCGAACTTCGGAACTCACGGTCAGTAAATTCGCACTCTAACCACTTGAGGCATCTCGCCCCCAAGCAAATAAAGCGAAAAAACTGATCAGAGTCATTCAGAAGGAATTCTCAGGCGTGGGTAGTCACATGTTACCTTGCGTGTTTGTCGACATTCTTAGTTTGGGACTCTAAAAAACCAGGCGACGGATTCATCATTGTGAGAGAAGAAACAGAACTTCCACTTTTACGAACGGTTTATGCAGCAAATTAGTAGGAACGGATTTTTTGATTGTCAGTTATCAACCGATGTGTCCAACGCATTGGATACTGTCGTCGTCTAAGTCCTGCACATGCATTATCAACGCTCCATCATGGTCGGATGGAGGACGTGTTCTCAAAACGAGGAGCACATCCACCAGTTAACTCGGGTGACTCATGTCCATTATGCTTTGTCGAGCTGTAAATGACCCGAAGGAAACTCATTGATCTTTCGAATGGGCAACCTTGTGTTCTAATCCATGTTTAGATAGAAAATACCTCCACCCGGATCCCTATACGGTTAAAACTTTACAAGAATATAAGGAAAATAACAAGACTGATGTGCCTGATAGAAACTCATCGACTGCATTTACACGACTCAGTGCACAAGTTGTCCAGTTAAAGTTTGAACAGGTATGGAGCCGAAGAACACGAATGGTAAGCTCCACAGGAAATTCAACAGCCTAAGGACAACAGAAATCCTAGGCTGCTATCCTATTTGGCATCGCTTGGGTTTTCAAAGTCCTTGAACCCGGCTTGAGTTCACGTACACCTGGATCTCTGTAACTGACCTACACTGAATTAACCATAATGACAGAGAACACGTGTCAGTCATCTGGTTGGCACTGGCAACCACACGAACTGGTTATGACACTAACATGAGCGAGAGGGACAGACTGCCTTTCGCCTTCGGCCCACCCACCTATCTGAGCTCGTGATCAGCCCATAACAGTAGTGACAGTTAAATGCTCCAAGTTTGAGAGCGAACAGTCGCTTTCCATAAGATTTCAACTGGAAAATCCAGTTATAAACGCGAGTAAGACATGCTTCATAGGATTACAAAAATGTCATCCAAAGGTGTCAAAATGTAGATTTGCTTATCACATTTACGTAGAACTGATATGATGATTGATTAGTTGGCCAGGACAGAGTCAAGGATTTTCTGACGACGCAGGGAAGGCTGGTGTATTCTAATGACTTCGTTTTGACGGGCCACCTTGGAACGACTGGGTGGCACCCGATAAAACACATAGAACGATCCTACCGGATTGACCCGGAGAACCGTATCGATTAGATAAGACGCGATTATGCTTTTCGTGTGCTTGACTTTTCGAGTTCCTTTAAGGATGGCAGATTCACAGCCACTACCTGACAAGGACACTGAGTCGTACCACCCACGTTCGCAAATGGGTAATGCATGAAGAGCCGCGGACTGGTACCCTGATTTTGACATTGGTATTGGGAAAATGGTCGTTACTGAAGTGATATCTCTCTTCGAAGGATTTTCAGCAACCTTGTGAGTAGTTTCCTTCATTAAAAAGATATATCTCTTATTGAACAGTAGCCAGAATCACACTCATCAGCGGAACGCAAACTGACATCATCGTTCTGCTTGCGGCTTCGATCGTGCCCCACATGCTTACACCGGCGTTTCTGAAAGTTGAATAAAATGAGGGTGGCAATCGATACATTGATTTTTGTGGATATTTGTGATCAACCAAAAATGGGCGTTGTTTCTCATTTGAATGTCGATGCTTGCTATCACGACCACAGGATGCATATGGCTTCAGTGTATCACCGTACATAACACCGACCATGTGCATCCTCACTTAGTGCGGCGGAAGATCTGTGGTCTTCAGTTTTGGGTTCGTAAACAAACTTAGACGGTTCGATTCTGCACAGACTTCTATACGTATACTGCTATAGACGTGCATACTGCGCATGCAGTCATCCTTACGCTCACAGCCAGTGTTGTTTTTGCTGGGTAATGTTGACCGTGAAGTCTGTTTGCCTTCAGTGGGCAATTGAAGATTGCACCGTGTACTAGTCGAATGAAGAGTAGTCAACACCAGCTGACCGGGTTTGCAATACGTAGAGAACATTCAGCAATTAAAAACGAAGGAGTTAATGTCCATGTTCAAAAAGGGGTACGCTGTCGATGATGGTGACCAATACTCTTGATTGCATAAAAATGAGAGGAAACTACACTGAATTGAGGGGTAAAATAAAACACCACATATTTCGCTCCTTCTATATATCGTAACAGACTTCACACTCTCCAACTAAGGGAGGTTTCAGCACTTCCTGATTGAATGTCAGCCTGATAGTTGTGGTTTAGTACCAACCCACATGACCCACTAATCACAACGACCATTATTTTCTATTTGTAACAACCTTATTCAAACTACGGAAAGGTTGTACTAGACCTACTTCAGGGTAGTATCTTCCCGAAATGATCGCACACCAAACGATGCTCGACAGAAATGCTGTTCTACATGCGCTTTGGGAGTAGTTACTCTTACTGAGAGTGCTCCTTGGCTGTCGGGAAGATATCGTCTGACATATTGCCTAAGTCACAAAAGGAGCTCACTAATGGGACTGACAGACGGTAATTGTTAGTCCAGTAGGTAGAAATGTAAAGAATCAACTGTGAGGTTCAGGCGCATAAGCGAGACAGACAGCGAGTATCCTCGGTAGAAACACGTTAAGTGAGCGCGAAGCCTGCAGCTAGAATCTGTCCTTAGGTGTGTCGTTTCGTTCATGTTACACGTACTTGGACGTCTCAGTTTAGGACCAAGAAAGTGGTCTCCAACTCGCTTCATGACATCCATCTTGGCAACAGGGTGAGTCCGGTATCAGACAGCATCACGAGCGGTAAGACGCAAGCTGCACTTTCATTTATTGTCCCGTATAGCGGAATGTACATGGTGCATGCATATCGAGCGAACAGTATCACCGGTGCGAACTTGATGAGGCGCGCTCACACCGTACACAGCATACATTTTATAAAATGGTTTGCTGCTGACTGCTCTATCCAAACGTGATGAAGACACCAGGTAGTCGTCAACTGTTGGGGATAGATGGCTGTGGTCTGCGCAAAAGCCTCACTGCTGACCAGCTTACCACGATAGATACAATTCTGGGTATCAGCGTCAGAGGAGTACAGAACCACGGAGGATATCTACTTGGGCAATTCGTGTTCCCAACTCATCACTCCAGCTAAAACAAGACACCTTGGGTGATTAGGAAAACACAGATGTAGCTGATTTCTGATAGTGTGGCGAAAATATAGGATAGTGCGTTTTTCAGTCCAACCGCCGTTGCTTACTCACCGTTTTCCCATGAAAATCACATCACAGCAACCATGTTAGTAAAAAGATGGCAATGACGCGATGAATAGTCAGTTCTTGTGGTAGTTGGCCTTGCTTGACCCATGCGTCGGACTAGCTGTGAATCATCCGCCATGGTGCACTTAGGCCACTCATATAAACCTTTACAATCCCAGAGGATCGGATTAGATCCTTTCTAATACTTCACATTGGGATTGACCTGGGATCCCTAGCAAATGTAGGGAATACTTTTGAGGTTCATCATGTTGTTTGACCAGAACCCCAATAATTATGCTTGTCTTCGTGGAGTTCGACAAGATTTTGCTTAAATTCTACTCGGAATACTCTACGCACTAACTTTGATGGCAGGATTCGATGTTCAGCGATCCTTTGGATTCCGGAAGGGGCTGCATACTGGGAGTAAGAGCGCGAATAACTTCAAAATGCGGCGAGCTGTTCAACTGATTCTTCATGAATTTCATAAGTTGTACTAGAGGGAGTTCGGAGCAAGTGATTTACCTGGCACTACCGTCGTACACTTAGGACAAATGGGATCCCTCCACCTCGTAGTTTCCTTACAAGTGATGAAGAAATACTCGTGTGGGCACAGCGCTGTCTATTTACAATCGAGTCAACATATCACCAGATGTTTATAACAGTTGGGGTCACGACAGGAAATGAAAGGAGAAACAGATGGCAAGCCACTAGGCACCAACAAGAGGTACCGAGTGAGTAAAGAACGGGGACGGTGGAGGTTACTTGTAAAATTCAAACTCTTGGTCTCCCTTTTTAAGAGCATTCTTGTATCCCTTCTCGAAGTCGGATGCGAGGACCACATAGCGGTTTTCTCGCACAGCTTGCATTCCGGCCTAGTGAAAACAATGGGATGGGCATATGAAAGATGTTGGGAAATTCACAAGCAATACAACCTTGTAATAAACCCTTCGATCTATAGCTACGGTTCAACCAAGAGCAAGAGTTACTGTCGGTTGATCCACGCATAAACGAGAGTAACGAAAAACTCAGCGATGGGACAGCATCATAAACGTTCAACTCACATCGAGATCACCACGACGTCTCAGGCATTCAGTAGCACCAATGGCAAGAATTCAAAATTACTATAGGTCCGAAGACAGGATTTACTCACACCAGCGAAAACAAAGACAGCGGTTCAGGTTTAGAGAGTAACTTAGAGGACTTGGCGTTCTTGATCATCAGCAGCTTAAACGCTCACACCAAGGTACCGGGTTGTCTCCTTCACCCTACGGTCATTCGGAACCTTATGTCTTTGAACTGTTTCACGAAAACGCACTGAGTAAGTTTGAACGACACTGGTTGCTCTGCATCCCGTGATTCTCGTCAGGTCAGTCAACCACGTTTTTATAGACCTTATCATCTTCAGATTCGTTGCAGTTTTCCCGAGGTTCGTACTCATGGGTCTGCAGGCTTGTAAATCCTTATCTATGGTGCTCAGCAAAGGACCTCCGAAATTAAGACACACCGAGATGCCATAAGGCTGTAATCCTCACACTGCGTACTAGTTTACTAAAAACCGAGGCACAGGAGCTGAGATATCTCGAAGATCGTACCAACCGAAATATCAGGTACCTTATGCGCAGCACATTCATTCGAAGGACATCATAAACGAGAGATTCAGATGAGTCTCCCGTGAAAACCAAACCGGTGTGCATTTGGCGAATTAAGTACATTTTGGATTCAAATAGACTATAAGGTTGACGGAAACTCGGGGACTGCGCTTACTTGATGAACCCCAAGAGTTTTCAGCAACAATGTCAATAGCTTCCTTTAAAAGAAACTTCATGGCGTCTCCGTGCAAATGAACTTCCCGTCAAGCGCCTGCTCATGCAGGGTGTTCTCCCTTAAGTGCAGTCACTTTACGTGTGTAAGAGAGTACCTCGAGAGTTGTAGATAGTGGAGGAACAATCGAATCACCCAACTATGAAGTTCAAGCAAAGGAACGCCAACCATACCGAACAATGATGCCAGACCACTCACGTTGATAAAGAATTAATGTATGAACTCCGAAACTTTTCAGACAATAGGATAACGAGTATTTGGCACAAAAATTAAATGGGCACGGAGATGGAAAGTTTTGGATGGAGATGGTCACAAGCGGTGTCATTCTCCTCAGCTAAAAATGCAATGCAACTAACTTGAAATAGAGTCACCTACTCTGATTGATCCACAAGGCTGTTTGCATGGCTCAAGATGGGGAACCCAAATTGCTTGGTACATGAGCTATGTCGTGAAATCAGCAACAATATCACACCGGTATCAACGCAAATAATATAAGGGATTTGGTAGACATGGGGAGATCTAAAACAATACTTTGGAGATTGTGTCTAACAATTAGGACTGGTGTTGGACCACTGGGTCTTCACGAGATCAAATAATGTTACGAAGAGTGGGTAAAAGCGTGATTGAACTCCATATTAACAACCGTTTATGAGCGGTAGCGATTCCGAACACAATCGGATTCGACTTATCCTTCATCAGAAGAAAACAGTGGAATACTAAATGGATACGGAAATCTAGCCACTACGAGTACAAGCAAAGAGAAATGAAGACCGGCTTCGGAAACTCGATGGGATGTCATTATAACGGAGAAACAAGAGAATACCGCATCCTGAACAGAGAACATCGACATCGCTTTGGACTGGGGTTTACTAACAAGCTACCAAAAGTTGCTAATAAGGGAACCTGCTCAGCAACCGGGAAAGATCACCCACCTCTTGACAGATCGCATTGATATCCGCTCCGGAAATTTTGTCCGGTCGGGCCACATAGTCCTCCAGGTCAACATCTTCGCTTAAATTCATTTTCCCCGTGATTGTGGAGAAGATCAAACGCTTTTGGCGTCGGTCTGGTAATGGAAACTCGATTTTACGATCCAACCGTCCGGGACGCAGTAGTGCTGGATCCAAAGTGTCTGCACGATTGGTTGCCATGATGACCTGTTGCGAGTGCATGGATCCAGGTGATTAGTATGAAACACAAACAACTGGTAGTCGATGGAAATTGAAGAAAACTCCTATTGAAAGATGACGTCACATTCTGATGGGGAGATGGTTAAATTATCCAGCTTTGTCTGTCAATGAAACAAGTGAGTGGGTGTAGATTTGTTCAATCCTAAATCATCCCCAAACAGAATGGTACTAGAATCGGGGAGAAAAGGTTGTTTTGATCTCCAAATTGAGTGATTCCAGTACCGGTTCGATCTGGTTGTCTGAGGATATCGATCGAGTGTTCAGTTTTATGTAGCCGTTGCATTTCTAGCGATTAAGAAGCTCACTTTTGGGAACAAGGTATCCTTGTTTTCGTTTTAAGAGGTTTCCTCCATAATGGTAATACCGTACAATAAGCAATATGCTGGAGCGCTACTCAAGGGAGAAATGCGGGTTTTTATAGGTCGCTATTTGATCTTTCCTGACGATCTTGGCATCGGTCATCTGTCCCCTGTTACCTAAAACATTCGATCACCTTGACTAAGTCGGTTAAAGCAGCAAGAACAGATGTGGGGAAATCATTCTACAGTAACCGCTAGTGCAACTAACCGAGAAGGCTTCTCCAGAGTGGGCAGAAGTTGTCTCCAGTGTTGCAAGCAAGCGCACTTCTGTGAGTTTAACTGTATCACAACATAACCTGTGTTTATCTGTTTAACTTCAGAAAGAATTACATGCAACCGGAAACGAGGGAACATAATTGGTAAATTGGAAGGTGGAATCGTCCCACATAAGTGTCATAACACGGATTTGATGGGAACAACCACAGTGGAGGGATTTCATGGTTTTGTGAGTTTCCATCTACCTATCGTCAGTTATTAACACTTGGGCCACCTCATTCGTCATCCTTAGATGTGGTTACAAGGTAAGATCACCGATCGCATGAAATTTAACAAAATTCTCTTGATATAACAAGGCTAGAGTACACATAAATTACCGTGATAGTAGGCGGCAAGTGGTCTAACTGTGCAGTCACCACGCCGCACTGGATGAAGCAGAGTGAACCGCTGAACCTTGTTATCATCACCACGTTATCAGAAGGATCGCTATCATTCTATGACAACCATAGAAGATTAAACCAACCTACTTACAGCCACGCCTGTGTAGTTGTAAGCCCGTGCTGCAAGTTGGTGACACAAGATCTGGCAATAAACTTATGCCTACTTGCCGTAGTTTCGATGTGGCATTCGATAGCATAGCAATTAGCTATAAGTTTGTCGATTTGATGCACGGACGTGCTACATCGAGTAGCGTTTACAAGGAGTATGGCGAGAAATAAGTTATGCTGTTGTTAATGTAATACCGATCTACGATGCAGATCGACATAAAGGTTCCTTAATGCGTTTTCCAAGGATAGTCCTTATGTGAAGGAACCACATGAATGGATCAGATATAAGCAATCTCTTCGGTAGAGTCAACTATATTATTGCCAAGCTTTTTTATGCTTGAACATATAATACGCAGACAGGAAAAGGTGTTGGATATTAGGAAAGTAAGTAGTACTGACCTTTACGTTAACATTCTGATCAAACCCATCCATTTGATTGAGCAACTCCAACAGAATTCGTTGAACTTCCCGATCCGCTATACGGAGTGGGGGAAAATAGAAATGAGCACAGACGAGAATTAACTGATCAGACTGATAACGAGGCATACAGCACATGGCAACGACATTGTTACGCTGCACGGACAATGCGGGTGAACAAACCAACAAGCAATGCACCTTTGATACAGAAGAATACCAGTCGACCGGAAATCATTATAGGGACCTAAAGTGTGACTTACTCGTTGTCTGTTGAAAAGTGAAGTCTTTTACAAAAAAGCAGCCAGTTTCGAGAGTCTATTGGTTTGTTCGCCTAACCTGGCAGTTGCACTGAGGTTCATGAACAAGATTCTCTTGAATGGCGCTCCCATCCTCCTATGAACTAAAACTCTAGTGCGAGCGGTACTGTTCACAGTCAGTATTTCTGCCGTTGGTCTAGAAAAACATACTACTGATACCGTTTTCATCCGATTTTTCGAAATCTGATATAAATCCGACTCTGCGTCCTCATTTGAACGTGGAGGGCGTAAATGGGAGTCATCAGTGAAGTGACAGTAGCTACGGTGTTGATTATTTATTTGAATCAACGGTTATTTTCGCCAATTGTTTGACTACTAATATGTAGGTAATTTACACCTGTTTAAAATGACGCTGTTTTGCTTCATTGTTGCTCGTTCCTCGGTTTCTTTTTCCCGCTTGAGGTTTGCTTGCCCTCTAATTAGTAATGTCGACGCTTTGTCGGCCGTCCCTCTTCGCTTACCATTTCGTGTCAACTCTACATACTCCTGAGTGTTTGTTCTGACAGAAAAGCAGGTCGCCCGGGGCTCGGAATCGGGCCCCGAGGATGACATCTTACTCGATAGTGCTTGCTGGGATTTTGTTTTAAACGGGACTAAGTGCGCATTTCGAGTTGACACGTAGCACGTGCCACTTCGTTGCACTGTCAGCTGGAGGCTGCAGGTATATTTACTTTGAGCCGAATTTACCCGACCCATTTGACAGTTGGTTCCCATTTCCTTTTGATCCGGGATCACCCCCCGAACGTACTGACTGTCTTCTGCGCCTGGTTACATTGTATCCGTATATATGGATATCCTTTGGTAATTGCTTTTACTGTTTCCAGAAAGCCCTGCTGCCTCATTGTCTTTCTTCTGCTCCTGCCGTTTGCGCTATTGTTGACAGTACGCTCCACGTAATTCACGATGTTTATTAGCCCATTCATTCACAGAACCAGTTGCTAATCGGGCAATAACTGCCCTCATCTGTCTGTTCTTACCGCCTACTGAATACGAACTACGCGCAGTTTGATAGCTCCCATCGTTCCCTTAGCCGCCCGGACCTTACATAGTATGGTTACAAGTCGATTTAAGTAGTGAGAGTGGCCCCTCTATGTAAAATTAAACATTAGAGGTAGCCTTTGGAGGGAATCATTCCCTAGTATGAGAATCGGCTTTCAAAAGAGAAGGAAAGACTACGAATCTCATATTGGTGGTTCAGTGTACACCTACAGGAGAAGTGACAAGCATTCTAAGTGCCAAGATGCAGTACCCCTTGCACACGTGATTATGAAGGTTGCAAAACGTGCCTTAGAACGGACTACTATAATGTTCGTGACCACAATCCTCCTTTAGATTCTGTGAATGCATATCACCCTAATGAACTCTCTTGAGAATGAAAAAGAACAAATACTAGTGACTTCTGAGAAGACAGCGACCAATTATGCCAGGATGAGTAACCAGTTAAACTACACGTGCTGACGAAGAATTATTTAATCACCGAACAAATGGTGCTCCTTCGTCACAAAAGCCCGCAACAAACGTCAGGCTACTTTATTCAAAAATTGCCGTGCAGCAACCCAATCTAAACCCAATTCTTGACAGTTAGAGATGACACCACAACTGGGAGACGTGGCACACTATATGGTCTGCAAGTGACATTCTTCTATATGGATATTTTACTGGACGCAGGAAAATCGGCGTACAATACTGCTTAGTAAGGACAGTTGAAGGACCGGATCTAAAACAGGGCAACTCATTGAAATTTTGTAGCAAAATGGAGTCCTCTACTGAATGCAGACAGTAGTGGCATCCAGTGCAGAAAAGCGATTGTGTGAACAGAAAGCAAGGAAAAAAGCGATCTTATGACAGGATAGAGCCGGTGAGAGAATTGAGAATGACATATCATCCATCTACTTGGCGTCATCCACGCTGTCGTCCGGACAGTGGGAACAACGCAATCGCACATAGGCGGATTCAGGACATTTCAGACTGTTTCACTACTAAAGACATGTCAGTAGTGTGGATAAAATGATGCTTCGAGGGTTAAGCCCAGTGGGGAAGTTGTTCAAGGCACCGTACACTTTGTCCGCCTCTGGGTACAAGAGGCATTTTCGAAAAGAATCTACCATAAAATGGACATCTAAATGAGAAGTTTGGATTGTGAGAGGGTAGCCCAGTTCAGTTAACTTTAATTTCATAAGGAGACTTCAACATCATGAGAAAGATAGGGAGGGTAAATCCAACATCGGCGAGATTAGGGATGACCGAAATTAGGTTGGAATTCAAACAATCAAGGCACAGAGTCAAAATCAGGTTGAGTGCCTTGCGGCTGGGTTAATGTGACTGGGTAATGCAATTGTATCTCCGTCAGACAGTTTGACTCACAAGATCAGTATTACAAGGATAAACAATTGGAAAGACCCTAACAGTCGACAGGAGAAAAGTGTTCCGCTTATGCTGTATATGACTAGCACGATAGTCCGAAGTGTAACACGAGTAGGCAAACAAGTTTATTAGATGAATTGATACAGAATACCTATGTAGTGCTGTCCCCGAACACAAACTATTGTGGTATCGACCCGATGTTAAAAGCTGCGAAAGTCGGATGTAGGGGAAGTCGAGTGTGAAGCAAAAAGAGTAACTGGATCTAACAGCAGCAGAAGGGGTGGCCGTCACAAGAAAGCTGATATTCCTGACAGAGTAGTCTTGAGGACATAGACAAGAATGTTAGGAAGCTGAGACAACTGACTGGGAAGTGGAGACAACTAACCACAGATATAACACAGAGGAAAGAGAAAAGTAACGGGTATTGATTTTAGCAAGTACATGTAAAAAAAAACTAGACAAGTAATACCCACCTCCGGTTTGGGCGTCAAATCTTTTGGTGGCAATTGCATCGATTTCGTCAATGAAAATGATAGCAGGTGCATTTTCTTTTGCCAACCGGAACACATCGCGGACCATACGGGGTCCTTCACCGAGATATTTTTGTACGAATTCCGATCCAACTACACGAATGAACGCAGCTGTGGTATGATGAGCAACAGCCTTCGCGAGCATCGTTTTTCCACAACCAGGAGGGCCAAACATGAGAACCCCTCGAGGTGGGTCGATACCAATCTGCTTGTACAGTTCGAAGTGAGTGAGTGGTAATTCGACGGCCTCACGCATCTCTTGCTTTTGAGTGTCCATTCCCCCAATATCCGCATAGCTGACATCAGGCTTCTCATCTGAAAACGAGAGGCGACAAATTGAACATCAGGATAGGAAGTTCTGACGACGACAACAGTCAATGATTTACGGAGCGATAAGTTAGAAATATGGAGCAGGAAAAGTCAAGTTAGATTTGAGAAGAAATAGCTGTGGCTAGGTGGCCTAAGTAGATAGAAACGAAAACAATCCAGAATGGCACGAGACTACATTGAAGACACTCCGACGCAAAGAAAGCATGATTTGAGGAGCGGACAAGGATGAGGTATTTTTGCATCAGACATAATGCATGCTTTATAAGGATGCAAGGAAAGGGATACTTTGGTTTGGATATACGAAATAAGATTTGGGTGCAGTATGGAAAACAGCTACTGTGGTCAATGGGTAGAATCGACAGCTTAATATGGTACGGGTTTATTTAGAGTACTCTACTCTTGAGGGAACATCTCCAGCAAGGCAAAGGAATTTCTTTAATTCAGCTATCCTCCAGAGGCCGAAGAGGAAACACCGTTGGGTCCTCAAAATGGCTGATTTATCCCATCGAAGGAGGTACCATAACAGAAATACCCGATATCACAGACTTCGATTTTTTGGAATTGAAGTGTTAAGCACAACTGATACATCAACCCATTATAATGATAGATCCTTTAAGAGTTATCTACGCTTAAGCAGGAAATTAACTTGAGATACGTAAATAGGACTGTCCTTTTGGTCAGTTCACAGCCGAAATAACGATTCAGGGCATTATGAATGGACAGCCAGATGAATTGATGCATGGCAAGTCAGCAGTTCTCGAGTTCCTATAATCAATGGTTCCCGTTGTCGCTATGTGGGAACGCGTCTTCACAACAACCCGCCGTGTTAAGCGGTTATGATTTAAGTTCAACTATGTGATCAAACCACTAGGATTTCAAGACCTGGGTGACGGCAACAACGACGGCTATACTGATCTGCTGTATTGCGTTATCACTTGGATCACATAAAAAAGTGGAAAACATGTGGAACATTCGGTCCAAACAAAAGATTCCATTCCGCCCTCACACTCGAATATAAGCGAAAGTCCATTACCACAATGAAGATGCAAGGCCGTGGCATCAGGTAACCAAGTGAAAGAAACGGTGCGAGAAAACGATTACAAGCTACTGCTATGGAAAAGACTGAAGTTGCGGGCACTGTGAACACTTGGGTCACAGTCCCTAGTAAGAAATCATCGCTTAGCTACAACACCCTTTCGGTGCTTAGTTGTCATGCCGCCCGAAAGAGGGACGAGAGCTGAGACAGCGCCAGGTTACCAAAGCCCAGACAGGAGCGGTCGAGAGGCACATTGCAGCTCTGGATGATCCCCCACGTACCACCAAGCCGGTTGGAAACACAGGGAGGCACTACCTACCAGGTGGGTAGTGTATTATTATCATCATCATCGACAACATGAAATCAGTGTTCAACACCAATGCTTCGCTGCCGTGCAGGGCAGTGTATGGTGTTGCTTCATATCCCAAACTCTAGTGAGGCAAAGCCCGGTGAGTGGTGTGATGAGGATATATGTTCTTCGAAAGCAGTTCGAAAAATTCCTTTGTCCCCGGGAGCTAGGGGTCAGTCACTTGAGCGGGACCGGTAAATAGCACAAAAGGCTGGAACCACCTAAGTCATTCAAGATTAGGCTGATAGGTGTTGAAGAAACGTTTGTTTCGATGGAGCCGGCAGTGATTTATTCTACCAGAACGCTTACCCGAAGATCTAGAAAAGCAACAGGCCGATGTCATGCTCCTTAAAGATTTTAGGTCCCATGGGGGAGCCAACGCAATAATCAAGGATTTTCAGGTCATCTGGAAGGGACTAAATCATCAAATTATGGGCGAAGGAGCATGTGTGATGCTTATTCTGACGTATGGGTAGGTTAGAAGCCGGTTTAAGTAAAGCCGAATTCGGAAACTGAATTTCCAAAGCCAATCCAGCCCTTATCTTACAGCATGGCTACGGAGGGACGTTCAAGACTCTGAAGTTTCTCCACTTAGATACACAATGTTTCAATGCGACCACCACATTGGCAAACGGGGTAGTATGGTCGAACCTAAGTTAGCATTTATTGAATCTTTCACCTGAATGATGGTCTCTCTGAATTCTCTTCTTGCCGCATTTGCCTTCAGAACGCCGCCATACCGAACACCACAGTGTTCTACTATAGTTAACGAAACAAACAAGCATCATGAACTACACATTGGAAAAGCCTTGCGAGGCCACCCCAGTAGTTTATCATAAACAACTTAAATACACGGGATATTAACTGAGACACCAACTCTGAAGGACGGTGACTATTTTGTTTAGGAATCTCTTTCAAAGGAGCTAAAGCTTCGCAAGTGGTACATTTCGTATGGCCGGAAAGAAGCAAGGACTCGACCCTGATCATATATTCACTTAACCATTTGAGAGTGCCTCACCTATTCAAAAGAACGAGCCTTTAACCACCAGTGTTTAGCTGAGAAAACATCTTTCGTATAGCCGGTAGCCAAAGGATAGGACGTCATATATAGAATGCCATCGTAGATCTGGAGTGAAAGCTGTGCATTAGAGCTGACAGCTTGGAAACATGCTCGCCATTGAGCAAGCGACTCGGCAATGTCTAACCACCGACCAAGGCATCGCAACCTATGGTGTGAGCGAAATAATTCTTCCGGAAATCAGTTGGCGTACTTCAGTATTGCTGATTTGATGCTCGCACAAGACTTGGACGACGCTCCGAGGACACCGATGGTCGAATACTGAGATTTTTAACGTCACCAGCGCGTAGTGATCAAGTTTCTGATCCATGTAACAATATGGAACGCATCGCAGCATGGTAAACTCTATCTTTGGCAGCTAAACTGATGTTACGTCTGCGCTGAGGATGATGCATGTTCACCAGAGCCGCTCAAACGAAGCTCCACAGTAAGGGTGGACCATGTCTGTCCACTACTTTATGGCGACAACAAGGCGTCACACGGGGGACGGTGTTCTGTACAATAACAGCTCTTAGTTGACAACTTCAAAATATCATGAACGGTCGTCACCCTTCGAAATTATGTTTAATCACAACTGGATGTAAACACCTACCACAAAAAGACGGACGATTCCACCTCACACTCAAGCAAAGGCGTTATCGTCTTCATAGTGACATATTCCAGCCAACAAAATGACAATATAAGTGGAATCTCGGCTCACAGGGAAGTAGCAATGTTGACAGCAACACCAGATGGGAAAACTAATGCTTCACTACCAAACAAACATGTCATATTTATTTGAATAAAGACTTAGAATGGAAAGAAAATGTGTAGAGTGGGACATAGGGACACAAATGTCCGAGGTACCTAGGCCTCTAACACTGCCAGACAATCTGGATGTAAACTGGCAGCACGCGCGGTAGTCGCGTCGTTCAGTATCACCAGTCAAGTACGTGGCCCCCGTCCTAGAAGGTGAAAAGGACCAGCAGCACCCGGACTTTTCGTGACATCTTTCATTTCCTTGTCATGTCAAAATGCGCCTGCCTCTGGATTTCCAGCACTCCGGATTAGGTTAAAAAACTCATTTCGGCAGGTTGTACCTGGGTATGCGTAACATGGTCCAACCACCTTAGCTCCCAATGTTGAATGCACTGAGTGGAGTAGTCTGCTTTACCAAAAAGCTGTCTCCTGGTCACCTGATTCCAGTCAATTACAGCCATAGTTCTAAGCTATCGATGATCAGAGACCCTCGACCCGAAGTGGACAAGTATCGCCGCTGTGCAGCACACCCATACTGTAGTCTAACACATGGGCCCTTTGAGACCCTTTTTGAGGTGACACAAAATGGCAAAGGCAAATCTGACTTTTGAGACTCGCGCATCGACTTTGTCTGTCACATCTAACGCAATTTCCAAGATACGTAGTGTTCCATAACTCCCAGTATTACCCCTTGAATTCAAAGAATTGAGAACGAAGACGGAAAGACCTGCAACATGACTGAGCATTGTGCTTAAGAAGCGCATGTTGAGAGACCAGAAGACCCTTTATTTTGGAGGTCTACACTGCTCGCGAATCTACGGGACACATTGGCAGCAAATGTGGTCAGGCCATCTTCGACCACCGTATTTAAAATGGCCCCGATCAAGTAGATTTGAAAAAACTTAGACACCTAAATGTGCGAGCCAAAATTCATAGAGCCAGACTCTCAGATTTCGAGATAATTCGCCTCAAACGACAGCTCTAGTGGTGGATTTACAGGAATGCGACAGACTGGCCGTCACCCGGTTTCACAAATCTGTGGGTGAATAGCACACAGAGGGAATACTCAGAGTGAACAGTCTTTCCGAGGACCAAGCAGCTAAAACCTAGACTGTCCTCATACACATCCGGGTACACTGAGGTAACTGACAAGACCACAGCAGCTCTGGCCTAGGAAGAATTCGGATTGAATGCCTACGGCTAATCTGCAAAACAAGTCATAGATATCGCAACTAATGCCGTCTAAAAACTAGCGGTAATGAAAGAAAACTTACCGGGCTGCAGCATAGCGATACAGCTATCAGCTTCAGGTGGCAAAACATCCACGAGTGCATTGCTGTGCTTATGGAGCGCCACACTTGCTCCGGGCTTCAGTAACTCACGGTCGATTGTAGAAAGAATTCTCACGTAATAATTAGACCCTACAATATGCACATATTACGGAAAGCCAATGCATACCCGTGGTTGAGCCCAGGATGCCCGTATTTTGGTCTACGGCCTCGAGAAACTGGCCGATAACGAGTGGGACACTTTTTATTCGCTTGACCTCTTCCTGTGCATGACGATATTCTTTTTTCAAATTCTTTTGCTCATCTTTAATGTATTCTTCCTGTATCTGTATAAATTCGATTTGCTTTTTTAAATTCTGTAGAGCAAAACTTGGCGAGCACCCATAAAGCCAGGTACCTTCAATTTGACGTATAGATCATCTTCGCTCAACTGTAAAGGGTCAATGTGATTATAATTAACAGCTGCAACATCTGAGGTTTCTAATTCCTGATGAAGGTTAGTCGTGCATGAAAACGAAAATACTTTTGCTTGCGGGGGAAGTAGTCCCAGTTCCTCCATCGTCGCACGTCCTTGACCGGAGTAAGCAAGGGACCCAAATCGGAAGTGAAGAATCAAACGACTCCATCTATGGTACGTATGCTATGTCAGCAGCAGGAGACAGTGCTTCCCTGAGGGAAGGCCTTCATGACAACTTTTGTGGGTGCAAAGCAGAAATGAACCTCAAAAACTGCAGTCCACCAAGCAAGGTTATACGATAACTGTACTGATAAACTAACCAAATTGGTAGGCACTGTATCCTACACGTCGGCTGACGTATGACACTAGCGACCAAAAATAACCATAGACAGAGTGACTATAAACCTGAAACCACTTAATGTACGATTGGGGAGTGATCAGAACAAATGGGAAAAGCTCCTCATCCATAATAGACGATAACCACCGCAATGAAGTATTCGGAACATTATTCATAGTGAGGCGAGGGAACAATAGCCCTGACACCGGTAAATGGTCGGTAAACAATCTCACAGTTATGTGATACGGTTTACTTCATTTCCCTACCGAACATAGATTAAAGCCGTTTCGAACCAGTTCCGGGATGAATTAGGATCATTCAAATTCAATTTTATTTTAATTCAGGTTTTAGCGTGCTAACTAGAAACCTGCTTTTGTATGTATAAGTAGAATGTGGATTGCTTGTTGTACGTGAAATTATTCCAGAGTTTCATATGCCCGGATAGTCCAGATTGCAATCCAGCCAATCAGATGCGAGTCTTGTCTGAGGCAGCCAGTCCTGTTTACTAATCGCTGCGCCGCAGACTGTTGAATTAACCGCTTCGTGCGCGTGGTTCTTAAGTTGGATCAAGTTACCTGGCCACCACTGACACACCCAAATTGAGTTCGCCGAAACTATAGGTTTTTCGAAGTTGCCATTTCACTGGGAAGTTAGTCTAATCAATTTGCACCCTCCCGTGACATGTTGCACGTAGCAGTTTGTTTAAGTGAGCGAAATGTCAAGGCCACTGGCCATCGCCGATTTGTATTTTTTGCCGGTTTACGCGACGTAAAACACGAAATCGCACTGAAGCATATTTTGGCGTTCCTCGGTGTTCCTGAAGAATAGAATGAAATCTTAAGAGTAATTAATGCAAACGCCACCCTATGGGATCAGTCGTAAGCCTTTGTTTACTTTAGACACCTCAGATTTAAAAAATGGGATATTTTTGTTCGGCGAACCTGCTCACAACACATTTTCCTCATGGATCTCATATTCCATTAAATGCAATAAAATTAGATTACAGCACAAAGTTGCAGTGGCAGCGCGAGGGCCATCTGTGGATGACCCCTTTCCCAGATATGCATAACTAGCTTGTAGATAATACAGTGTTACGAGATAGCTGTGGGCGTCTTTCCTATTATAACTATGACGTTCTGTTATTGGTGACCACCAACCATAAAGCGGCCACCACGATGACGGTAGCCGCTCTCACTCACCTCGACTACCTATTGCAGCTGCTGGATCCGTGTCTTTGTGCGACGTTAATTACGGTTCTCCACATATGCTTGGCATCCCAATCCAATGAGCAACGACGGCCCGTTGTACTCGTATCTCTACTAGTTTTCACACATGTCGACTACCTGTTGCAACTCCTAGGCCCGCGTTTATGTGCAATGTTGATAATGAGACTGCACCTATGCACAGTAACATGATCCGATGGTCAATGACGGTCTTTCATACTCTTATCTATACGTGATGCCGCTTGTCTTCGCTAGCTACAGTAAACATCAGTGCAATATACATGCCGACCGGTAAAAATAAGGCCTCAGCTGTGCGTGATAGCCACATCTGACAGCTTGTTATACTCACAACTGTACTCGAAGTCATCTAACTTGGCTATTGATCGCAACTTTTGAGTCGTCCTTGTGCATGCATACCTAATCTAATGGTGAACGATGGTCCTAATACTCAAAAATGTATGCGATATTGCCTACCTTGACTACTTATTGAAACTGCTAGGCCAGTGCCTATATGCAACGCTGTTTAGTAGGCCTCGGCTATGCGAAGTGTCCTGATTTAACTGCAAACACCAAGCCAGTATCTATGCGGGCCGATGGAAACCAGGTTCCAACTATGCGTGACATCTTAACGACCAACAGCCGCCCGTCATACTCGTAACTGCAGTTGATATCGCCTACCTTCGCTGCTTTTCGTAATTGCAACACCTGTGTCTATGTGCAACGCTGAGTATAAATCTGACGGTCTTTCATACTATGCGCGATGCCGCTTATCTTGCCTACCTACAGTAAGCATCAATCCAATATATATGCCACCCGGTAAAAACAAGGACTCAACTATGGGTGATAGCATAATCTGACAGCCTGTTACACTCACAACTGTACTCGAAGTCACCTAACTTGGCTATTTATCGTCATACTCATACGTACTCGATACCGTTTATGTTTGCTACCTTCGGTAAACACCACAACTGCAGCCGACGATAACGACGGTAACTACCTATAATAACTGCCAGGCCCGTACACATGCTCGTAGCTAACCATAATGCCCCGGCAACACATAATAGACTAACCTGTCAAACTGCAATCACCACCAGATTTGATAACGCACTCCAAACTCCTACTCTTGATTGTGCCCCCTCGACCACTCCCACCATTATCCGAATCAGTGAGCTGTCGCTCACCTCGACTACTTAGCGTAACTGCTATTCGCGACGCAGATTATGGGGCCCCACCTATGCACGGCAACGTAATACAATGGCCAACGACGGCGCTCCATACGCATAACTCCACGCGTTGATAATGCGCCCGCCATGGGTTTACGAAATCACCATTGGCGAATTGCAGTTTATTCATTGGCATCACTGATACAAGCTTAATTGGTAGTCGCTCCATTTTTCATTTTCCTAAGATCCCCTTCACGGGACAAGGATTCTGAAAAAGAAAATGGGCAAGCAGTTAACATCCGGAAACAGGATTTAAACATCTGGATGTAATTGAATTTTATTTGTTTGCTTACCCAGTGGTTCATAATTCCCATCACCGTGATGAGGGATAAATGTATAGTCGTTGCGGATTGCCATGGGTTCATTGAATCGCCATTTAGGGCCTTCGAGTTACAATCACACGAATTCCTCGTCATCACGGGATTCGAAAGCGAGGTCTGTAAAGCGTATGCTAAGAACTTAGGCGGATTCGAAAGCAAGGTCTACAAAGCGTGTGCTAAGAAATTAGGCCTCAAATTACCGGTCTCCATCAATTCCGAAACTGGACACTGCATGTTCGATCCATCAACTTACCGCGTGGGAACGAGTGGCCTCTGAATACTGAAAATAGACGTGTACAAGGTAGCCACATTGATTGGTAAAATATGCACGTGCAGTTTCCGGCCGAGGTGTTGACAGTCTGAGAATATTTGTGGGTTAGTACCACAAACTGACTGTTACTAAAAATGGGCCTCCCACCTTGAGGCGATCTGTCTGCTTATGTATCAAATTTGGCGTGCATATTCCAATGTGCCTGAGAACCTGATTAGCGGCGTACGTCGTCATCGGGGAAACGACACGCAGAACGTAGACGTCTCCCTCCCGAATTTCTCGGCGGTCACAATAATAAGTGGTGTGCAATAAGTAGTGCAATAAGTGGTGTGTGCGCAAAATGCTCGCTTTCGACTTTAGGGAAATTTCGAGTGTGCGTCTAGTTTCCGGCGCCACCGCTTTGAATGTCCATGCAAAGGATTAGGATAGTGAATAAGGTATTGACTTCTGATGAGGCTACTTTGAGCTTCTATAACCGTGTAGTCTGGCCTCCGAAACAACTGAGTAAATGGTAGTTAGTTTGAAGGGCTGCGTACTAGAAACACACAAAATTTTTCTGAAACTGTTTCGAAGGGAAAACTTTGACACAATGATTTACCATTTGATGGTACTTATTAGGGCCTTTGAGATCTCCCCAAGCAGCTGCAGCTGCGTCCACTGCCCACTGCCGTTGGCTTGGAGCATCGTCGCTATAGAAACTGTGATGAACATGACTGATACTCTATTCATTGCTGTATTCATCATTCTCTTGTTTTAATATTCCATACGCTGTACATATTGGCCAATTCGAACACATACGCGCTGGTAGTTAAGCTTCGCTGAATTCTGGATTTCTAGTTCGTCTGGTTATACCGATATACGTACGAAACTTAATTCTCACGTTTTGGCTTCGCGATTGGAACAATTCATCATGCCTGCCGGGATGGAACCATTAGATGTTAATTCAACTGCGCGTGACGTAGAAGATTATTTGGAACGTTTCGACATATGGCACCTCACAAAATCCGATATGGATAAGAAACTCACCGCATATTTCCCACATTGCGTTGTCAAGGAGGCGTATAAGTTGATCAAAAATTTAGTATACCTTGAATCTCCAATCCATACTTCCTACACTGCTTTAAACCCCTTAACTTCGTAGCAGCCGAAAGAGCTAGGTTCAGTATGTTGACCCGCTCCCATTCTCAGTCGGTTCGTGATTTCGTGTTTCAGCTGCAGACGCAGGCAGCCAAATATGACTACGGTGCCCAACTGGAAGACTAGCTGCGTGATAGACTCATTCATGACATTCAGCTGCCCGAATTACAGTAGAAGCAGCTACTCTGTCCGGATCAAAAATTTCGAACTATTCGGAAAACTTGTGGGCAGTATGAAGATGTGAAGCATGTGACGAAGACTGAGGAAGCATTCTTGTTAAATTATTTTAAGGGAATAATTCATGGAGGCAGACGAACGACAAATTCAAACCTCGAATAGATTTGCGTGCCCCAAATCCATCAGCACGTCGCTTCACAGTTCGTAACCCTAATCCGATGGATCAAAAATTGGGGAAATGTGAATCTTGTGAACGAAACCATCCCAGATATTCATGCCTCCGCAGACGAGCGTAAAACAGGACACATTCAACTTGTCTGTAAGTCCAAGAAAGTGTGTCGCTTGACTTCTGACACAAATACTGAGGTGAAGGCATTATCTGAAGATATTTCTACTCTTTCTCTCTCTGTTTTGTCCCAAAATTCGTCACAGAAA